GGCAATTTTTTCGGGAATTTTGGTAGAATTTTGGGCATTTTTTGGGGGAATTTTTGGGGCAATTTTGTCCATATTTGGAGGAATTTTTGGGGAAATTTTTTTTTGTTCTTTTGGTAGAATTTTGGGCATTTTTTGGGGGAATTTTGGGTATTTTTGGGGGGAATTTTTGGTTGAATTTTGGGCATTTTTGTGTGAATTTTTTGGCGATTTTTTTGGGGATTTTGGTAGAATTTTCGGCATTTCTTGGTGGAATTTTGGGGAACTTCGGTAATTCTAATAATTGCATTAAATATTGGGAATTTTGGGGGGAATTTCGGCATTTTTTGGGGGGAACTTTTGGGGGAATTTTGTCCATATTTGGAGGAATTTTTTGGGAACTTTTTTTGGTTCTTTTGGTAGAATTTTGGGCATTTTTGGTGTGAATTTTTGGGCGATTTTTTCGGGAATTTTGGTAGAATTTTGGGCATTTTTTGGGTGAATTTTGGGTATTTTGGGGAGGAATTTTTGGGTTAATTTTGGCCATTTTGGTGTGAATTTTTCGGCGATTTTTTTGGGGATTTTGGTAGAATTTTCGGCATTTTTTGGTGGAATTTTGGGGAACTTTGGTAATTCTAATAATTGCATTAAATATTGGGAATTTTTTTGGGAATTTGGGCATTTTTTGGGGACATTTTTTCGGGAATTTTGGTTGAATTTTGGCCATTTTTGGGGGATTTTTTTGGGAACTTTTTTTGGTTCTTTTGGTAGAATTTTGGGCATTTTTTGGGGGAATTTTTGGGGCAATTTTGGCCATATTTGGAGGAATTTTTAGGGAACTTTTTTTTGTTCTTTTGGTAGAATTTTGGGCATTTTTTGTGGGAATTTTTGGGGGAATTTTGGGTATTTTTGGGGGGAATTTGGGCATTTTTTGGGGGGAACCTTTGGGGGAATTTTGTCCATATTTGGAGGAATTTTTGGGGAATTTTTTTTTTTGGTTCTTTTGGTAGAATTTTGGGCATTTTTTGTGGGAATTTTGGGTATTTTTGGGGATTTTGGTAGAATTTTCGGCATTTCTTGGTGGAATTTTGGGGAACTTTCGGGAATTCTGATCATCGCATTAAACCCTGGGAATTTCTGGCTGAATTTCGGGCGTTTTTTGGGTGAATTTTGGGCGGATTTTCCCTAAATTTTGGCCGTTTTGTGTCCCGCAGGTGCCCCGGAGGAAGCCCCGCCCCCTTTGGAGGAAGCCCCGCCCCCTCCGGAGGAAGCCCCGCCCCCTTCTGAGGAAGCCCCGCCCCCTCCCGCCCTGGCCCCGCCCCCCTGGGACCCCCAGACCCAAATCGCGGCCGAGGAAATTCGGGAGCAGCTGAGGGACCCCCGGGGGGGCTGCAGGACCCCGGTGAGTGACCCCGGCTGACCCCTGACCCCCGAGTGACCCCGAGGCCAAAAACGCCCCAAAATCCCCCCGGAAAAATGAGCAAAAGTGGCAAAAAAAAAAAGACCCAAAAATGACCCAAAATGAGCAAAAATGGCACAAAAAAAACACCTAAAAAATGACCCAAAATGGGCAAAAATGGCAAAAAAAATGGCACAAAAATGGCACAAAAATCCCCCTAAAAAATGACCCAAAAATGGCCCAAAATGACCCAAAAAAGGCAAAAAAAACCTCTAAAAATGACCCAAAATGACCCCGAGTGACCCCGGCTGACCCCTGACCCCTGAGTGACCCCGACCCCAAAAATGCCCCAAAATCCCCCTGAAGAAATGAGCAAAAATGGCAAAAAAAAACCACGAAAAATGACCCAAAATGAGCAAAAATGGCACAAAAAAAACACCTAAAAATGACCCAAAAATGGCACAGAAATGGCACAAAAATGCCCCTAAAAAATGACCCAAAATGACCCAAAATGACCCAAAAATGACCCAGAATTACCCAAAAATTCCCCAAAAAATGAGACAAAAATTCATCCTAAAAATGACCCAAAAATGGCCCAAAATGACCCAAAAATCTCCCAAAAATGACACAAAAATTACCCCTAAAAATGACCCCAAATGACCAAAAATGGCACAAAAAAACCCTCAAAATGACCCAAAAATGGCACAAAAATGGCACAAAAATCCCCCTGAAAAATGACTCAAAAATGGCCCAAAATGACCCAAAAATCCCTGAAAAATGACAGAAAAATTGCCCCTAAAAATGACCCAAAAATCCCCCAAAAATGACACAAAAATCCGCTAAAAATGACCCAAAAATGGCAAGAAAATGGCAAAAAAAATTCCCCCTATAAAATGACCCAAAAATGACCCAAAATGACCCAAAAATCCCCCCAAAATGACCAAAAATGGCAAAAAAACACCTAAAAATGACCCAAAAATGGCAAAAAAATGGCACAAAAATCCCCATAAAAAATGACCCAAAAATGGCCCAAAATGACCCAAAAATCCCCCAAAATTGACCAAAAGTGGCAAAAAAATCCCCGAAAAATGACCCAAAATGAGCAAAAATGGCACCAAAAAAACCCTAAAAATGACCAAAAATTACCGAAAATGACCCAAAAATGGCAAAAAAATGCCCCTAAAAAATAACCCAAAAATGACCCAGAATTACCCAAAAATCCCCAAAAACTGACACAAAAATTCACCCTAAAAATGA